TGCCACATATATATGTATATGCATATATATATATACATCTATATATATATATATTTCTAATGCATAATACATATAATACATATATACATATATATTTCTAATGGCAGATTATGAGCAACTATTAACAGAGTTCATCAATCTACCTAGTACATTCACCGAAAGCAGGTATCTCTTCTTAGTGTAGCGCCATATAGGTCGATACTAATCACCGCAGGTAATTTTTACGCCCAGTTTCCTCACTAGATGGAGGCACCTGCTCTGAGGCTCCAAACTGGTACTAGGATTTAATTTTGCCTAGAATACGCCCTAGGGATCTTTTACATGCCACATATAATCATACGACATGGCCGCTGTCATTTTTCTGCATCATGAAAATTCATCGACTAGGGCCGGGGTCGAGCCCGCAACATTGGGTACAGAATAAATTATATTTATTAATATATATATATATATATATATATATATATATATATATATATATATATATATATATATATTAATTATATTTATTAAATTTTATATTTAATTTTTTATATGTTTAATTCTATTATTTTTAATTTCTAATACAACCTTTGTACAGTCTTATGTCTTGCAATTTTTTAAAAAATTTTCAGTTTAGATGATTATTGATTATTCATCTCTCTTTTGTAGATAATTTTGACTACATATATTATTACTAGCCGTTACCTACCCGCTTCACTGGGTATTTCACGATGTTGTATATATGTATACTGTTTACATATATATAAATTATTGATATCTAGCATTAAGTATTCGATTGTATTGAAAAAATATATTTATAGCTCTTACACTCTCACCCTTTGATATAAAAAGAACATAAATTATAATATCTAATTTCTACTTATATCTAAAAAAGAAGTAGAAAAAGACTTTTTTCGCTCACTTAACCTAATAATCAAGTGGATTTCCAACAAAGCAACTTTCAGTGGGTCTCTACTTCATAAAATAAACATGCGTGCTAAATTTCAAGTCTAAATCTAACAGAGCAAAAACGGTATTTTTATCATCAATACCTCGTTGACAGCATTCTTAGCGGATTCCAATTCGACAAAAAAGAAGCATGCAAACCAAATTTTATTATTATAGTCTTAGCAGTTCAAAAACGAGAATTCAACTAAAGAAAAAAAAAGTGCTCAACAAATTTCAAGTAAATTAGTTAAATTCAAAAACAGGAATTTTTCTATAACACGCCTTAATCCCTCACAAACCCACTCCTTTGGGGGTCCGTTTTCGCAAAAGTCTTTATAAAAGGAACTTTTTTCCATGAACGGAACATACCTTCTAATTTTCAAGCAGGTAGTTCTATTAGTTGAAAAGCGGAAATATTTATCTATTACGCCCCTTAATCCCCCTCAGTGACCCTTGGGGATCAATTTCCCCCAAAACTATTTGCAGCGGATCTCTACACCATGAAAGGAATTTGCTTACCAAATTTTAAGACTGTACGTCTAATAGTTTAAAAACTGAAAAAATTATCTATAACGCCCCTTAAGCCCCCGAAAAACCACTTAGGAAACGATTTTCACCAAACCCATCTTATAGCGGATCTCTACTGAATGAATGGAATCAGCTTACTAAATTTCGAGATTTTACGTCTAATGGTTTAAAAAAGGAGTTAATTGCCTATAACGCCACTTAATTCTCTACAACGCCACTTGGGAGTCGATTTTCACAAAACCCATTCTGTAGGGGATCTGTACTCTATGAAAGGAATCCGCTTACCAAATTTCAAGACTGTACGTCTAATAGTTTAAAAATGGAAATAATTATGTATAACGCCCCATAAGCGCCCTCAACGCCCCTTGGAGGTCGATTTTTGTAAAAATCATTATGTAGAGAATCTCTACGTAATGAAAGAAATATGTGTACCAAGTTTCACGACTGTACATCTAATAGTTTAGTAATGGAAATAATTATCTATAACGCCCCTTAAGCCCCTGTAACACCCCTTGGGGTTCGAACTTTGCAAAATCCGTTCTTAGCTGACGTCTACTCCATGAAGGGAACCTACCTACCGAATTTCAAGTCTGTAGGTTTAATAGTTCCAGAGATATCGTGATTAGTCAGTGAGTCAGTGAGTCGCTTTTCTCCTTTTTATATATAGATTATTACAAGCAGTATATATAGTTTCAGCTTTTTTTTACAAATAGCCATTCATTCCTCCACAAAAAAGGGTTAACTTCTCGTGTTCGTGCGAACGAGCTTTAAATATAATACGCCTTTGATGTTGACTCCAGACGCTTGTTAAACTAGATTTATCTACCAATGAGAAAGCTTAAAACTCAAAAACTTGAAAATGATCTGAAGCCTACTTTTATATTCCCTGAAGAATCTCTGTTTGCGTATCTCTACATGATAAATACACCACTTTGATAACTCTAGCTATGCATGATGAACTTTTTATAAAAAAGGAATATTTAAATCAGGAAATTTTTAAAGCATTGATAGATTTTTTTATAGACTGGATACGCACCGATTTTATAATCAAAAAATGATTCAAATAAAACTTGTGTGTGGAATATATATTTGAGTTTATTTCTATCTGCAACATTTATTTATAGAAGCATGAAATCTAATGATTGTATTTTTTTAATTGGTTATTCCTATATTTTATGTAAATTTACGACTCCAATAAATGTTTCCTTTTACCAAAAATAATGTAATTAATTAGCATCAAAGACTATTTTAATATATAATTGACATATATTTGCACCATAATACACTTTTATCTTATAAAACTGTCTTCTTGTAATCACTACTTGAACAAGCGCTGTGAAATTATTGTCCAAATCTTAGCGTCCTCGTTATTGTTCCACATAATTCTAACTACATCAGAATGCCTGATAATTACCTCATTTGCATCTGATTTCAGATTCAGTTCATTAATTCAGCAACAGTTTCAGGAACTTATTAGGATGTCCATAACAGAAAATATTTACCTTCCTCTCAGCCAGTACCTGACCAGAAAATTCGGTAATTCATTCCATTTTAATCACCAACATTTCGTCAATCAAATCTTCCGCTATTGCAAATGATGACTTGCTAGCTACATTTTATTATTGATTGATATAAAAAGTCCCTTCAGTCTAATTACATTAACAACACAGTTCAAGGATTAATAAAGTGATTGTGCCAAACTATCAATTTTTGAAGACAGTGAGATGGCGGAAGTGATGTGAAGAGAGAAAATTTGCTTAATCAGCTCAGACATAATTAAGCATAAATTTTGCTTAACAATACGCTGTGATCGAGAGTTTAATTAAGCTGGTGTTGTGGTTACACGGTAGCTGTGAGGAAATGACTTTGAACAAAAGATCGCTTGTAGTTATTCCGCTAATTCAGGCAAATAACTTTTTAATTTAATAAGTTATCAGGATGCTTGTGTCATAGGATATTGTGAACTCTGTAGCGAGGTGTATATCCCTTAGAAATGTGTTTGTATGAATATATTAGCGTTTTGCAAATGTTATCGAAAATATTGTACTCGTTTTAAATATTAAATTACATATCTTGTAATTGAATTATTTGCATAAGAAAAAAACGGAAGGTTGTTCAAAGAATGGTATACAAAACTCTTGTCCTTGAAGTTGTCATGTAGTACATCTGTATATTTTGTTGATGGAGCGATTCCTCCCATTGGAAACAAATGTTGCTAACAAGCAACCAAAGTAATATTGTACTTTACTATTTATTTTGCATAAAAAATAGCACGGGACTTTGAAAAATAAACATAATGATTGATTGAGTTTATATTAAGCATTCCTTACATTCGAACTTTTAAACTTATCTGCATTATTTAGGGGGACTATTTCATATCTTCAAAAATATCTCCATTTGAATTATAATTTAAATATTTATGAAGCTTCAATTTTTTGTTTGTTAATTTTTCATTAGTTTCCGTAAAATATTCTGTGGGGGAATAAGATAAACCTTTATTATTATTTTAAATAACTGAACCTATTACAGAATATTCAGTTAATAAATATGGCCGCGATAGCCTCGCTCACGAAAGAGGTAGATTATAATTCTAAAAAAACGTATTAAACTGCCTTCTCTTATTTCATCCTAGTAATAGGTATAAGCAAATAAGGAGAAATCTGGCCCGTTTGAATCTATGCAATCATAGTTCTAAACCTTAGAATTTACTAATGTAATATTGTTTTGCTCTCTTTATTATACTTTGGCCTGTAATTGTTATAATAAAGAATTGTTGATGCATTTTTACATATTGCTTTGCATGAGATTAAAATCATAAAAATTCAATATATTATTCATGATTATATATAAAACACCATTGTAATATTTTCAAATATTCTATTAATATACATAAGCTGCATTTAAACAATAAATACCATACTCATTATAATAATAAATATTATATTTAAATAATTAAACTGTATTTAATAATTTTCAATCTTAAAGTATTTTTATTTTTTCAAATTGTTGCAATTGACATAGTTAAAAAAATAAAAAACTTGACTTTTTTTCAATTTCTTATTTTAGTTCACTCACCCTATATATGCATATGAATCCAAAAAGCATTGCTTAACCCTAAATCGCTAAACGAATTCAGTGACAGCTTCAGAAATCATAATTGGTCATTAATTTAATCTAAAGATTATTTTTTAATCTACATTTGTTATGTCTCTTAAACTCCAATTTCTTTTCTTCTTTGGCATTGTATAGGTCTTAGAACTTTTTCACTTTTATATTTTATTATACTATATATATATATATATATATATATATATATATATATATATATATATATATACTTCTTGTCCAAATTTTCAATCGTTAAAAAATACTTTTTATTCATCCACTCAAATTCAAATACAGTTTTTAAAACTTATAGTGGGGGACCCTTGATGTTAATACAGTTTTTGAAATATGAATTCATTTATTGATGATTAAATAGTAAAAAACAAAAATAATATAGTCCAACACCCTATATAAAAAGCAAATCTCCTCGTTGTGTCACCGTAGCGCAATGGGTAGCGTTTGGACTTCTGCTCAAAAGATTGTGGGTTCGAGTCCCATCTGGAATAGCCTAATTTCTGAGAAGGTGATTTATTTTTACTATACTTTTTTATTGGAATAATTAATTTTAATGAATTAATAAATATAACAAATAATAATAATAATAATAATAATAGTCCAACACCCTATACAGAAAGGAAAATGGGAAATTGCAAGGAAAATCGCTTTCTATTTTGCCACTTAATATAGTGATTCTGATATATGTGTATACATATTTATATTATTTGTAATTAGATATAATAAAAAGTAACTAAAATAAAATAATTCTTTGTTGACGTAGGTAGAAATTGACTTTAATTTTTTTTATATTACTTATTTTCTATGTGAAATTAGTGCAATTAAAATAATTAAAAATAAAAATTTGACTTTTTTAAAATATTAAACATTTCCTCTATCTAAAAATAAGGATAAATCATATTATTATAAAATTATACTTTCCAGGCTCCTTCAGTTCCCTCTCCCTAAATTCCTCAAATTCGCCATATAATGTATAGTTAACAGACAGGAAGATGACACCTTTCAACTATTACGTTTTCTATCCGTACTGGATTCAATCCCTCCGAGCGACTATAATTTTCAAACAAGGAGGGTCGCGAGGAAGGTGCCTTGCGCAACCATAAACCACACGACCTTGGGGCCACTTAACGAAGGGCGTTCACTGGACATCGAGAAAGACGGATCTGAAAGAATCGTGTTCGGATTTCCAGACCCACACCCACAGGTCCACGGAATTAGTATGCTGGAAAAGCTCCATTTCGGACCACAGAGATCCATTGTCTTAATTATGGACTTCTGTGGGATGTGGGTAAAAATGAACAAACTGTTACCTTACGCTGTTGATTCAATTAGATTTAGGAGAGTTTAAGATTTTTTGCATGACGTGCATGGTATCATCTCGAGATGTTTCTCGAAAGTCACTTTAAAATTGATGCGTTGTCTCATAGATTGTATGCTGATTGGCCGTTTGCTCAACGATTGTGTAAAAGAGTATAGAATTGTCGAAAGTTCAAAGATGCTTGAACAGGACAACGGTTTCGGTAACTTTACATGCTAAAATATTTCTTAGGTCTTCATATTTTTAGTTTTAAGATGTGCATAACTCAGTTGATAATAATTAATCTCGAACGTATAGAAATATGATGTTTTTACAGTTAACTTCTTAAATATGTGTGTAATGTAAAAAAAGTAATTAAAGTCAATTCCTACTTAGGGCAACAAAAAACAACATTTGATTTTAGTTAGTTTTTATTAAATAATTACAATTAATATAAATATTTATACTCATATGACAGAATCACAATATTAAGTGACAAAACAAAAAACAATTTTCATAGCAATTTACCACTTTCCTTTATATATATGGTGTCGGACTATTATTTTTTTATTTGTTGATATTTATTCATTAATTAAATTTAATTATTCCAATAAAATAGAATAGCAAAAAACAAAAATCACATTTTCAGTAATAAGAACATCCATCTCTGGTGGGATTCGAACCTACGATCTTTACATTAGAAATCCAACGTGCTATCCATTGCTCTACAGGAACACAACCAGTGACACTCCTTTTTATATAGGGTGTTGGACTATTAACTAACTTTGTTTTAACTAATGAATTAAAATGTGAAAATACTGTATTAGCATCAAGTGTAATCCACAACAAGTTTAAAAAAATTGTATTTGAACTTGAAGGGATGGATAGAAATATTTTGAGCCATGGTCAAGTCACAAGAATGGCAGCTGAGCTGCCATCCTTTCTCCAGACTAACTCACAACACTAACGGGAGGACTTTGAGCTTCGATAGATTTAACGTGTATCGGCTCTTCTACACGGTAGGTTTTAAGTATGCACTAGGGCTTGAACTAATTACACGCTGGACACAAGTCAAGGATTTGGATTTTAAATACAAAATACACATTCATTTTAAAATTTAATATCTTTTTTAAAATCTTAATTTATTGAAAAATATATCTAACAATTATTTTCAAATACTGTATTATCTAAATATACTCTATAAAACACACACACAGCATACCTAGAAGCAGTTGTCTGATGGCGAAAAAATGTTTAAACATGATATATATATATATATATATATATATATATATATATAGAGAGAGAGAGAGAGAGAGAGAGAGAGAGAGATAACCGTAGCCATTGGTAATGATTAACTGAAAGGGCGTGGCGAGTGGTACGGATTTCTTAATAAGATCATTGCATATTTGTTGATGTTACATTGACCAGGCAGTTCGGTGTTCATTGTTAATCCTGTTTATTATACATTAAACACACAAACATACACATGTTAAACACAACACAGAAACGCGATACAAAAATACACAGCACGAAAATACAGGCACGCGTTACATGGTAACGAAGAGAAAAGAGACAGAGAGACTTTCCAGAGAATCTCGGTTACGGTTATTTTCGTCAGGTGGGCAGCCAATAATTATTTAAGTGCAAGTCCTGAAAGCCAAGACCATTACAAGTTAAAAAGAAGAAATTAAGAGACGAGAAAGTAAGGGAATATTATTAGATATATCAGTCACTTTTAGTGTCTCAATCACTTTTTTTAAATAAATAGGATCTGCATGTGATTGAAAATGTATTTCTTTTACTAAGAAGTTCACCGACAAAACAACTAAAATTTGATTTTTTTCCTGGAAAAAGTTTATTTCTCATCTTTCAAGAAATTCGTGTTAAAAGAAATCTTCTACGAAATTAAAAGTAAAACATATTTGAAAACTGAATAGCAAAATAAATTCTTAGGATGTGTAGGTTGGAGCAAGTAGTTACAGCCTACTGTCTGGTACTTGTAAAAAATATTTTTTTTTATTGTATGTGTTTGAGTCATTTGAGGAGTATTTTATGAAATGAAGAGTGTGTGTACTTTCAAATCTTGAAGCCCAATGCGTTTGCGTGCATTCGATAAGAAAAATGAGCAAATAGTTCCTGAATGTAAATTTCCCGTACTTAAGCTCAGCTGTTTTCAATGCACAAAATAGGATGTTATGTTTGGTATGATTATGGTAAAAAAGATGTTTTTTTTTATAAAATTAGTTTAAATAAGGAAACTTTTCAGATATGAAAGTTCATGCCAATTAAATATTTTCAGTTTTTATGAGAAGTCTACTATTTTTCTCGGGAACATAAAATAACCTTTAAAAAATGAGTTAAAGCATCACTAATGATACGCAAAAAATGAAATAAAATTAAAATTTTTAAACATAAACTATTTTACAAGATAAACCCTCTTCAACAATACTAAACTGCCTAAATTATACTCAGGATAATAAGGTTGATAAAGATTGAACTTAAAATCAAATAAAATACAAAGAAGAGACATCTGTAAATGCGATTTGAAAATATAAACGAGAATCCTAAGGGGTTATTTGGAATTGTGATAGATATTGTGTCACTTTTGATAAATATTGTGTAAGATGTACACTGATAAAATAGACAAAATGAACGGATTTAACTCACAAATAAATTAGAATATTTACAGAACAGGATTAACATACATAATCGCATTATAATCTTCAAACTTGTTGAGTAGATCTCTGAAACTTTCGCTAATTAACAGAGTACTTATTCGATAAGGCTTCGATATCTTGACATATCACATCGTACTGATGCATTATCTGTCAGCAAAAAAACATATATTTTTACGCGGGTTATTTCTTGTTAACTGAAGCAATATTTATGTATGCAAATGCAATTTAATCGTACTAAATACCTTATTTAATCTTCTCACATTTTTCATCGATCTGAATCCCCCAGTATTAGAAAAACTATTTTTTTTTCATACCCGTACATTTCCCAATTAAAAAAAGTTAAATAATATTAGTCATGCATATTGGTCTTTATATATTTACTGGAAATCGTTTTGATTGTGCAATAGAGTTTTATCAATATCCAAATCTTTTATTAAGAAACTTAACGGAACTCAATAAATAAAAAAGCAAAATTGTTTCAAATTAAAGGCAATAAAATTTGTGAAATAAAATTCTTTAATAATGATTTTAATTAACATTAAGCTAGAATTCGATTTCGAAAGAAGTCCAATGAAAATCTGGAATTTACAGTAAATTTGCTTGAATATAAAAATTTATCTAACAATTTCAACATCTTAAATACTTACGAACATTCGAATTTATAATTATCTATTGAAATTCACTTCTATGAAAGAAATTAATGCTTAAAGTAAAATGTAAGTGCAATACTTTTTCCAAAGTCTTAAATTAAAAAATTAAAACAAGAAGTGAAGCATCTAACATTAACTAAATACAGATGCTAAATCGTTTAGTAATGTTAAAACTAATTATAAAATATAAAAATAATAATAATTATTATTATTCATTATTTTTAAATCTAATCAGTAAATATTCGAAAATGTGTGATTTTAATTTACTGACTACCCCTGGGACCGTAATTTTGAAAAAGCATATGACTGAAAAAATTTTGATATTTAGTGTCTCCTTAATTGGAATATAAATATAAAATTATTTTAAGAACATTATTACAAGAAAAAATATTTATATGCAACTCTTTGTCGAAAAAAGTAAATAAAATAAATTCAAAACATTTTCTTTTTATGAAATATACTGCTGATTTTTCCTATATATACTAAGGTTTACTGTACTGGAGTTTCACAAAGATTTTTAAAATATATAGTTTATAAATGTATTAATTCATATTTTATGATATCACAATACATGCATTTTAACAAAAGAATGCCCATTATGATTTCAATTAATTGTACATCTGAAAATATTGTGAATTTTTGAAAAACCCAATCAAATCCCGGTATAAAAGTTCAAGTTATATATGGTCAAAATAATATTATTGTGAAAGAATTTTTCTTAAAATGAGAATGTTTTGAAAATTTGCCATTCTTTCTTCTTTTTTTTTCTGCCATAAAATTGCCTTTAAATAATTTCTTATTGTAATAATATACTTTAGTCTTGTGGTTAGAGCATCAGACTCCAGACCGGAAGACCTGGGTTC